GAAAAACCACATGAATGAAATGAAACAGCTTGTACTAAAGGAAAAGGAAAACCGACTGAAAAAGGCGACCACCAAATTCTAGGCTTCTGTAGTGTTCAGAAGCCTAAGAATATGGTGCATACATTGGATTTACTTGTTCCTCAGGCTGTGTTTGGCATATTCAAACCCTACCTTGCCATATCATCTTTCATTTTAAAAATGCATTAAATGAAAGCACTTGGGATTCAACTCGACTTCCACCTGGAACTGGAGTCAATGTTTCTTCAAAATTGTCATGTAAACTAAGTCACCGCTCAGAGGCTTAGCGACTTTGTTCCTGTGAGTGTTCATCTGCTGGTGACTTCTGCGTGCCCTCTCCATTAAGGGGAAGGAAAACCAGAAAGATTATTCCTAGTGTTTCCAGACAATGCATTCATTCGCCAAGAGCATGATCCCAGCCACCCTCATGCCCTCAGCCATCCTGGGGTGGCCACACCATCATGTTGTGTCATAGAGAACCAAGAATACAGCAGGACCAGCCCATCTCTTCAGGTGCCTTCAACTCAGCGGTCTTCCTTCACCCCATAGAGAGACCCGAGAAGCAAATTAAAGTGAGACACCGGGACAGAGAGCTCTGAAATCTTTCATGTTAACTAGGTGACTTTTTGAGGCTCAATCCACATGGCGGTCAAAGCTGATACACACATTTGTGTAAGGAATTTTGACTCACTGTAGTTTGAAAGGAGACTGTTGGCTCAGCAGCATAGTGATATTGCGAGAAAAAGCAAAGCAGCACCCACTAGCCATCCAAGAAATAAAGCATAAGCAAAACCCCTTCACATGGCTTCCATATCTTCTTAACATTTAACCTCTTTATGGTTTTAGAATTTGGGATTTTAAAAAAATCTAGTACTTCTCTAGCTACAAGAATACATTTGATACATAATGGTGTAGAAAAACCGTTTTTTTCCATTATTTTTAAATAATACAATAGTTTGTTTTTACATCTGTTTATGCATTTTTCCATCTCGGCTGTCACCCCCGTGGGCTTCCCATCACCAAATCACCCGTGTGCCGTCACCATAGTCCCATGCATTTCCCTCCCCGACTGTAAAACTGGTTTGTTTTTACAGCAATTTTTAGCACTCAGAATTGGCTGGTATGAGGACTTTGCCTAAACTCCTATTCGCTAAAAATTGTACTTGAATAAATTCAGAAAAACAAGTTAAAAATAGTATGTTTATGCACTTACTTATGCATACCATATAAAACATGTCACATATTTCAGTGTCAGTGACCCTAAGGAAAGGACATGCGGTTATCAGGCGCTGCGCACGCCCTGACATGCTGAGGGCCGAGGAGCTGCCGCGCAGCGCGGGAGGGAAGTTTCAAGTCAGACTTGTGCAGATTTGAACTCAGAGCTTCACCTTGCTTTCATTTTCCTTCTCGTTATGTTGTCCAGTTGTAGTGAAACGGTTGAAACTTGCTTTCCAGCGCCTCGGACCTTGGGGGCAGCGCAGACAGCAGCTATGGGGTCGCCGAGCTGCGCGGCGGCCAGGGGGGGAGAGGCAGGCACAGAGCCGTGGCCCGCAGGCTCCGCCGTCTGGCTCTCAGCTCAGGCTGTGAGGACCGCCCGGGAAGCTGCTGTCTCTAGGCAGGCGCCTGCATGGATGAATCTACAAACGTGCCTGAAAGACGGGGCAGCGGCTTGGACTGTGGCCAGAAAGGTGGCTGGAGAAGAAACGGTGAAGGAGCTGTTCAAGAACCTGCTGCGTCCAGTTCCTGAGGCTTGAGTGAAAACCTTCGCGGGTGTCCTGACTTGTCACTGTGATTTCACCCCATGGAAACATCAGTATCAATTCAAGACAAAGGTGACAGCAACTCGGTCAGCATTTCTGCTGAGTAAGCCCAGCCTGGCTTGCTGACTTCCTGACAGCTCTTAAGCTCCAATACTTTGAGTCCCTCTGAAACCTCATCATCACGCCCATAGCACGCGGGGCTGCTTCCCAGTCCATCTGGACCTCTCCGATCGGAGCTCGTGTCTGTGCTTTTGGGGGTGTTGGGGGCAAACAGGGAGCCCAAGGCGGCTTGCATGGAAGAGCTCTCTTTCGCGTGTTGTACCTGCCAACTGTTGAGATTCACCAGCGCTCACGCGCCAGCGCAGACCCAAGGCTGTGTGATGAAGGAGAAACCAACTCAGCGGCACTGGGGCCGGCCCGAAAGCGGCCGGTTTCACTTCCCCGCTGGGGGCTCTAAAGCTCCGCTTACAGAGGGCGCGTGTGAGCACCTCACTGGTAGTATCTCATGTGAACCCCAATCGATCCCAGAAGATACTTTGCCTCCAGTTACCATGTTCACATGCGTCCATCCTGTTCACACGGGTGGTTAGCGTGCTCAGGTGCAGGCCTTCATACTCATGTGCGCTCAGCAAGTCCACACATATGTCATATGCATGCACACGCCAAGCATGCTCCTCCTCCCTCCTCCCGCTCCTCCCTCCGGCCCTCCTCCTCCTTTCCCTTCCTCCCTCTTTCCTTCCCCCTGCCTGCTCACCTGATCCTCTGTTTGAGTAACTACAGGTTCTAGTAGTTTTTCATTCCAATTCATTGGTAAGGAGCTCAATGCCTTTTCCAAAATTCGTGTGATGATGTCACTTCAAAGAATAATCTCCACTGTTATTGTGGGAGAGGGTGACTGAACTGCCTTGTCAGTGAAAGGGAAGTCAGGGCTCCGCGGGCCGGGCGTGGACAGAGGGGGGCCGCTGCCCCACCGATGGGATTTATCTCGTGTAGGGAGCAAGGCCAGAACAATCTCGGGGAAATCTGTTTCATACGCTTGTTCTTGGCTTTTAAACTGCGTGGGGAAATGATTGTTTTCATATAGCAGTTCGCTGTCCAGAAGGCAGGAGAGCTGAGCACACGGGCGGCGACTGAGCCTTGCTGGGAGGATGGGCCTGGCGCTGGGTCTCCCGCCACAGGCCGTCGCGGCGCGACTGCCTCCGTCCGTGTTTCTGTCTCTCGGCTTTGTCAAGGAGGTGGTGTCCAGTGAGCGGGCCCAGCACGGGCTTGTCGCCTCACGCGCGAGGAGAGCGATGCAGTGACACTGCCACCCGGCGGCGCCGGCGCGTGACAGGGATTCACGCCAGAACCAGGGCTGCCCCCGCGCGGCGGCCAGCGGGAGAGGAAGAGGGCCGTTCCCTCTCCCCACCAGAGGCGGCGCTGTGGGCAGCCAGTGCTCCGCGCCTCTGGTCCGCAGTATCCCTGGAAATGGGCTTTCCCCTCCGGAGCGGCCACCTTCGCCGTTTCCCCCAACTCACAGTACGGTGTCTGCAGGTGGACACCACCCGGCTCCTTCATTTGAAGAAAACTTGCCGGGGCTTCAAAAACCAGTAAGGGGGGAGCCCAGTCTGCGAAGCCTTCACCGTTTTGCCAGTTTCCCGCCAGTAACTTCGGGCACACCGGGGGTGGGGGTGTGGGTGGACGCTGACAGGAGCTCCCTGCCACCCCCTGCCAGGCTCTGCCGCCTCTGGTTGACCAGAAACGTGGGCACGGCTGGTGGAAAGGGCAGCCCTTCCCGCGGAGAGGCGGGCGCAGGCGAGCGCCCTGGGCTGCGTAGCCTAACTTCTGCGGGAGGCCAATGGCTAAAAGCTCACCTGGTGAGTCTTTCGCAACCTCCCGTGGCAAGCCCCTGCACCCCTATTCTTCTCCTGCCCCCCACTCTCAATGGTAGCTGTAGCCTCCACTAACTGAATGTCTCAACTGCCCATTTCTGCAAGTTTCACAAGTCTGTGCAGTTAAGATGGCCCCACAAGGCTCCCGGCAAGGCCCCCTCATATAGCACCGTATTTCTGTACACCGAAAATACAGTGCCCACGTGTGTGTGCGTGTGTGAAAGTGTTTGCCTTTGCAGGAGAAACAATTTAAAGAAAAAGGAACAAAACCGGGAGAATTTTGCATTTTTGGTGTTTTTTGTATTTGCGCAGACCATTTTAGGATTTTCAGTCTCAACAAAACACTATTAAAACAAAGAATCTAGTAAAATATTTGTGCATGTACTGCTAAACAATTCTAGCAATTTTATTAAGCAATGCCTTTATTATTGTTTGAATATTCTTAACAGACTGGAACAAAACATCTTTTTCTTCAAAACAAAATATGCCTACTATACACACATTGCAGTGTTGAAGTATGATGCAGAGATTCAAGTTCGTTTGAACGAAAACAGATGCCTGGGGGGACTTCGTAGCTCGAAAGTTAATAACTGAATTGTGTTCACTAAGAGGCCCTTCCTCGTTTTCCTTCAGCTCCCACCTACCTGCGAACGTGTCCGAAGGGCACTTTCCGGGTCGTTAGGGGCCAGGAAGGAATGTGAAGTGTCTGTTGAATTGTTTGTTGTTTGTTGGTTTGTTTAAAAACAGCCCTTATTAACTCTTCCTTCCACTGATTCTACTGTAAACTCATAAAAGCCTTTTGCAGGAAGCAAGTTCATGGACACTCCGCGGGTGGAATGTTCCCCCACACAAAGAAAGCAGACTCTCTTCTCTTCAGTTATCTAGAGCATGTTAGAGTGATAAAGTTTTTGCATTTTAATGAACATGGCTAACCTATTTATTTACTTTGTTAAAAAAGTTCCTCTTTTGTGATGATGCAGAATTGCATACACTTTATACCTGGAATAATCTTACCAATATGTTGGGGAGATACGGGGATAAAATCGGATATATTCTGTGTACGCGGTGCTGGGCGCCGCTGCCATCTCCCCCATGGCGATGGAGGAGGAAAGAAGTCCAGGCTCGTGCCTCCGTCTCTGTGTTCCCGTCGCCACCGAGCAGACACCGCGGGGCGCGCCCGGACTTCCTTGAGCCCGAGGCCCGGCGTCTGCGCGCCCCTGCGGGAAAGGCCCGGGCCTCGGGTTTGGGAACTGGAGCAACGGAGTCATGACTTTGCTTTGCTTTTAGTTTGTTTCAACAGAAAAATGTGTTAGCTGTCTGATCCCACCTAGTATGGAGAGCGCTTGTTTGCTCAGCTAGAAAGGAATCCCGGCGGTGGGCTGCACGGCGGGTTTGTGCAGCGGGCCGAAGGCCCCGAGCGCGCCCCGTCACTGTGGCGACAGACAGAAGCAAGCGA